TCACACTTTAGGGGACTAATATATTTAGTAGCTGAAAAAATAATAGAAGGAACCAAAAAAAATTTGGCAACTCAATCTTTAGTAGCTAAATATAAGTAATGTTTTTCGCAACAAATATTTTTAGTCGCTAAAAAGGTGATATTTAATTTTTTTTTCAATACTTTTGGCTACTAAAAAACTAGTCGACATTGTATTATATTTGGCGACTAAATTAATTTTAGTCGCCAAATACCTTTCGCGACAATTCTTCAATGACTATTCTTGCGACCAAAATATTTAGTCGCTAAAAATTTTTGGTGATTAAAAGATGGCTTTTGGCGACTAAAAATTTAGTCACAAAAAGTGTAAATTCTTGTAGTGCTGATAGTCTGTAAATTTTGCTTCTTGTGTCATTTTGATTCCTATACTTTCAATTAATTCAATTTTGACTCTTAACATGGCAGTATCTCTACATGTAATTCAGTCTAATTGATAATGACATTAGGATTTTTGGCGAAAAATAATTACTAAGTTGGTTGATGTTAATTCAGTAAATTTGTAAAGTTTATAAATTTGCTCTTAAAGAGTGACTCGTGTCCCTCGTATGTGCATGTTTTATAATTTTTTTAATAATAAATTAAATTAAATTGGGACAAAGTCATAAATATATAGTCAAAATTAAGTCAATTTAAATTACATGAATTAAAATAACACAAAGGCAAAATATAAGAACTACTGGTGTAATTTACCTTAAAATTTTATTTCTACAAAAAATTAATTTTAAGACAAATAAACATATTATACACTAATTCAATTTGTATATAATTTGTTTGGATAAATTATACTGACATCTCCTAAGATTTCTGTTTAATACAGATCTTTCCCTCACACTTGAAAAATTACATCCTCCTATTTGAGATTTGTAATCTCACTACAAATTATCCCAGGGATTGCTGATTTTCATGCCCTAAATTTTTTTAAATGACCATCTTACCATTTTCCTACCATTTCTTAATTCTTCCTATCATCATTATTACATTCTACAACTTTTCATCATTAAATTCTACCTGAACATATTCTTATTGAGTGATGATATGCAAATATAAATTTTATATAGAATTTTCAAACACAATGATATAGCTTAATGGTGACCTTTCACTTTAAAACAAAATACCCATAAACATGATTTCTATTTATAAAAAAATATAACTATCACAACATTTTTATGATATTTTTCGTATAAATTTTTATATATGAATATAATTTTTTATTTTGATTTCACCATTATATCTAGATTAAACCCCATGCATCCTTGGATACAATATCTATACTATATATTAAGCAAAATGGGGTTTTTAACCCCAAGCCTTGTGGGAGCTCCAATCTCCCAATCAAAATTTCATGATTTTTTGATTTAAAAAAAAAAATCTTAGCATTTATTAACTTCTCCCAACCCTCAAGTCTTACCCTCATAATAACACTTTAATGCATTAAGAACAAGCATAAAAAAAATTCTTTGAAATCCAACACATGTGAATTCCTTAAAAAGTCCCAACACATATGATTATTATCCCTCATAATAACACTTTCATGCATTAAGAACAAGCATAAAAAAATTTCTCAAAAAGCCCAACACATATGATTATTATCAAAATATTAAACTTTAATATAATATAATAAAAAAGGACATTTAATTCCTTGAAAATTCTAACACATATGATTATTATTAAAATATTAAACTTTAATATAATATAAAAAAGGAAAAAAAAAAGGCATTTAAAAAAAAAGAAATTTAAAAATCGCAATTCACATATATAGATAATTGTAAATACAATCCGTGCATAGCACGGGTGATATGCTAGTTGTATATATATAAAGAATGGTAAATGAAAATGATTTTACTAGCAATGACTCGGTCATAGATTGGTTTGATGACTATGGACTGATGATGAAAGATGATGTCTTTATAAAAAGTAATTGACTTTTCTGGATGAGTAGGAATGAAATGTCATCCAGAAGGGAAATAGGATGTAACTAGTTCCTTGACATTGTGAATATTTTTATGAACTGGCTCTTTGTAGAAAAGATGGACTGGGGTTTAAGAGCGAGGTCCCCAGAGAGAACCACTAGAATTACCTAACATTTTGTTCCCCCCAAAAGTAGAACCTAAGTCACACCTATGGAGAAGGATGCTTTCTCCACTGGTCCACCACTCCTGATGGTAAAGAATAATGATTGATTTTCTAATTTTGCACCTCCAATACCATTCCTAATGATGTAAAATTAAAAAGATAAAAGATAAGAGGGAGAGAAGTGTAGAACTATTTTACATGAGAGTACATCACTTTATTATAAGTGAAATTTAAAGGATAAAATTTAGGGGCATCACTGTTTTAACAAATGTGAATTTCATTTAATTTGTTTTTATCTTGACCCATTCAGTACAATTGATCTCAATCCGAAAACGGTGGGTTGTTTAATTACTTTATTTTATTTTATTTTATTTTAAATATTTTTTTAATAAGCTTTTTCTTTGCCCCTAAAATAAACCTAAACTGTAGCAGGTGGCTTATTCTAAACCGTAAGTGACACGGCGTTAAGCGGTGCCGCATATTGTTTCAAATTTTTTTTGGCTTTTTTAATATAAACAAAACGGGACCGTTACCTCCCCCTTCCCACCTAATAAGTTGTAAGCTTCCTTTTATTAGAAGCAAAATCTACACCTAATAAGTTGTAAGCTTCCTATTGTAAGCTTCCTTTTAAATATTTTTTTAATAAGCTTTTTCTTTGCCCCTAAAATAAAATAAACCTAAACTGTAGCAGGTGGCTTATTCTAAACCGTAAGTGACACGGCGTTAAGCGGTGCCGCATATTGTTTCAAAATTTTTTTGGCTTTTTTAATATAAACAAAACGGGACCGTTACCTCCCCCTCCCACCTAATAAGTTGTAAGCTTCCTTTTATTATAAGCAAAATCTACACATTTTGCCCCCCCTCCCAAAAAAAAAAATCAGCCTTTTTTTCAAATCTTTTATCTTTAGTGATTTTTTTAATATTATGTCTAAATTTTTGACTTTTTGATCTGTTTTGTTGAGATGAATCTAAAAAATATTTTTTTTGAAAAATTTCAAAAAAAAAAAAAATTACTAGTGAAGAAAATAAGCTTAAAAATATTGCTTATTTTTGTCTTTTTAAAGTTTTTTTTGGATTTTTAAAAAAATATATAATTTTCTGATGTAGAAATCTAAGACTTTTTGAATTTTTTTTTTAAAAATTCACCAAAGATGAAAATAAGTACAAAAAAAAAAAATCAAAAATCAAAAAATGCACTTCCCAAAACACCCCTAAAGAAAATAAGAAAGTAATATGACAATGACATTTTCAAAATTACAAATTATAATGGGTAATATTTTGGTTTGAAATAAATAAGCTATAAATAATAATATTACTGTCTACGAAAATTTTATATTAAAACTTTATTTGTATACCACTTATTTTTTTCCAATAATCGGGACACACTATAAAAATTGCAGGACCTCAATTCTCTAAATAAGGGATTGGAGGGCGTTGTTCGAGTCATGGGATCTACCATGAGTCTCTTTTTAATGATTCAAATCGTATATCACTACAACAATTAACACTTTTAGCAACAAAAAAATTGGTCGCTAAAAGTCTATTTTTGGTCGGCAAAAGTTAGGTAAATTCGATAGTCGTAACCTATTTAATTTATCGCATTTATGACAAAAAGAAATATAGTTTATTTTTAAAAATACATTTGCCTTTCATTGTTTTTGTACACAAATACAATTAATTATATAGATTATGATTATTGGATTGATTTAGTTCTTTTTAGGGCAAATTACACTAACGGTCCATATAGTTGGGGCCTTATGCTATTTTGGTCCCTGACTTTTCAATTATGACACATTTGACCATGAATTTTAAATCTTGTTCCAAATAAGGAAAATTGAAGATACCATTACTCAATTTCAAGGGTAAAGTAGTCAATTTGATAAAATATAAACTAATTTGACAAAAATAAATGCCAAAAAAATATTTTTAAATTTTTAAAAATTATTTCTACACGATAAAATTATATAAAATTGATAAATCTTTTAGACATTTATTTATTTACCAAATTAATTTTTATTATGTATTTCGATGATGATCATATAATGGGTGGTTATTTTTATTTTCTTTAAATTAGTTTCTATTTTTCTAAAAGTCAAATATGGCGACAACTTTGATATCATTATTAAACCAATCGATTAAATCAAAAAATCTAAAACTATAAACATTTCATATATTAAATATATCAATTATACATTAAAAGCCTAACAACCACCCATTACATGATCATCATGCAAACACAGAATAAAATTTAATTTGGCCAAAAAAAATAATAAATGTCTAATAGAGTTATCAATTTTATATAATTTTATCTTTGGTGGTAGAAAATATTTCTAAAAACTCAAAAATATTTTTTTGAAATTTATTTTTGTCAAATTAGTTTATATTTTATCGAATTGATGACTTTGCCCTTCAAATTGAGCAACAGTATCTTCAATTGTCCTTAATTAAAACAAAATTTAAAATTCAAGGTCAAATGTGTCGCAATTGAAAAGTCAGGGACCGAAGTGACACGAGTTTCAAACTATAAGGATTGTTAGTGTAATTTATCATTCTTTTTAAATGATATGCACAAATAATCCTACAAAATGAATGACTTTTATCATAAAAATGGAATCTTTGGTGAACTCTATGGATCCAGACAACAATCCACCTTAAAATTGCCACGTCATTATAATTTTTAATTTCTTAAAAATTTTAAAATAAATATTTATTAATATAAACAATCTTGGTCATCAAATAACAAACTTCCATTTCATCCATGCGACGTGGATAAGATCTAAACTCGAAGCCGCCCTAATGTTTGACTAATCTGCGGAATATTAAAAGAATAATCCAACCTTCCTTCTTCCCCCATCACCTATATATAGGTACCCACATTAACAATCTCATAATCACACAAACTCAATAAAACAGAAACTTAAAATAGAAACAAAAACAATGAGATTTTGCATACTAGTTTTGTTTTCTATCATCTCCCTACTAGGAGCCACAGCACAAGATATTAGCTCCCTTATCAGCAGAGATCTCTTCGATCAGATGTTGAAGCACCGGAACGATGCTAGTTGCCCCGGAAATGGGTTCTACACTTATGATGCTTTTGTAGCTGCTGCCAAGTCTTTTGGGGGTTTTGGAACCACCGGAGATACTGACACTCGTAAGAGAGAGATTGCGGCCTTTCTAGCTCAAACTTCGCATGAAACTACTGGTACATTTTTACACTATTTTTTTATATTATGATCGATGCATGTTATGTTTTTAAATTAATTGAGTCATAACAAGTGAGAATTCTGCATAAATTTTTTGCTTCTACATTATTATTGATTAGATTAACATGGGTACATAGGTGGGTGGCCAAGTGCGCCAGATGGACCATATGCATGGGGGTATTGCCATGTACGGGAACAAAACCCTGCTGGGGACTATTGTAGTCCAAGTCAAGAATGGCCCTGTGCTCCTGGTAAACAATACTATGGTCGTGGTCCAATCCAAATTTCACAGTGAGTGCTTCTCTCTCTGAATTTCCAAGAAAACATAACATAAAATGAAATTAGTTTAAAAAAAATTAGTATGTGATATAAATTTAAACTTCTTGTGATGTAAACTAAATTGAAAATGAATTTTATTCACACTAATTTTTTTTACAACTTTTTTGCTCAAAAAATTAAAATGAGAGAAGATTGCAGTCTACTTTTTAAACGGGAGAATTCAATATTAACATGGTTGTGGGCTTGTCTTGTAACTATTTTGATTATTAGAACAGTTTAACTTGTAAAAAAATGAGTTAGTTATACATATAAAAAACCAATTTAATCGGACATTGACAATTACATGATTGAATTATATTTTTCTTAAAAATAATGAACGACAAGGATGATTTCAAAAATGAACCAAAATTTTTTCTTAATACATTAAAATATTGGTCGCTAAAAATACAAATTTGGCGACTAATTTTTTTTGGTTGCTGAAAATAAATTTTTGGCGACCAAAAATTTGGTCGCCAAAAAATATGTGACCTTCCGCGACCAAATTTGTAGTTAGTCGGGAAAAGTATACCACTTTCTGCGACTAACTCATTTTTTGGTCGCCAAAATATAACCTTCTGCGACCAATAATATTTGGTCGTCAAAAACAATGATCATTCGCGACTAATTAATATTTGGTCGCCAAATGTCATTTTTTTGTGACTAAAATTTTTTTGGTCGGCAAAAGTGGTCGCCAAATGTGTAAATTCTTGTAGTGGGGTAATGATAGGGACACCCAATTTTCTACCAAACAAATGACCAAATGTCTCACATGGGTGTGGGGTCCGCAATTTTGTGGATTCCACACCCATGTAAGACATTTAGTTATTTATTTGGTAGAAAATTTGGGACCTCTAGCATTTTCCAAAAAAAAATGCCTAAAATAACCTCACATCCATGTAAACCGAATCGTCCAGTGTAACAAGTGGACTAGAGACTTCAATTAAATAATAATGATTACATACCAAGAGCTGACTTTGACCTTGACTTGCCGTCCGCAGCAACTACAACTACGGTCCAGCAGGGAAAGCTATAGGGTCTGATCTGTTGGGCAACCCTGACCTAGTCGCAACTGATCCAACCATATCTTTCAAGACAGCATTCTGGTTCTGGATGACACCGCAATCCCCAAAACCCTCGTGTCACGATGTCATCACGGGCAGTTGGACACCATCTAGTGCGGACACCTCAGCGGGTCGGGTCCCTGGCTACGGTGTGATTACAAACATCATCAATGGCGGACTTGAATGTGGCAAAGGCTCTAATGCACAGGCAGAGGACCGGATCGGATTCTATAAAAGATACTGTGACTTGTTCGGAGTGGGATATGGCAACAATCTTGATTGCAATAACCAACAGCCTTTCGCATAATCTTAGATGTACACATTTGATATATATACACAAATAAATATTAATGAATAAAAGAATAAACTCACTCGGATCAGAAATAAGTCATCATGAGTATTCTTGTGTCACAAGATTGTACCATGTTCTTTGATAAATGAAAAATCTACAGCATTTGGAAGTGATGGGTTGTGGCTTCTTTATTTCTTTTTCTTTGTTCAGATTCAAATCTGTGCAAGATGGTCTACAATATATACTGCACTGGGTTCTCGGCTTCTTGAATATGGAAGTTCAACTGAACATATATATACACATTTGTTAATTTTTTAATTTTGTAAAAAGTGTTGAGGATCGGGGGCACACCAGGGAACTCAAACAAGCAATAACACACAAGTTTTAACGTGGTTCGGCAAGTCGCCTACGTCCACGGGCAGCGGATTCACTATATTGAACAAAATGGTGAATTACAACACTCTCTGTAATTCTCTCTCTCTTTGCTCTCAACTCACACCTCTCAGCTCCACATCTGATATCTATATCCTCTCCCTCCCGTCTCTATTTATACACAAAGGAGTAGGTGGGAGAGCCCTCATTCTTTGACTTTGGACATGGTTGGTGGCCTTCCATTGTTGACATGAGGATCACCCCTTTCACATGGGGTGACCTCCAGAATCTGTAGCCAATTCAACAAATCTCCACCTTGGCGAGGATTCTCTTATCCAACATAGTGATCGATCAACACTGCCATGCACCCGAAGGTGCTCAGTTCCGAGAGATGTTGACCAAGTCCTTTTTTTTAAAAACAATTTTTTTTTTTTTTTTGATCGGCAAAAGAAATCTTTATTGATAAAAACATACAAAGTATGAAGAGAACATCAATAAAGAGGAGCTTGGAGCTAGCACAAGCTCCAAGCTCCTGTCGGTGAGAAACCAACAAACAAAGCAAAGCAAAAAAAGCTACAAAGCCAACCAACAAAACAAAACACTAGGTGCAGCCCCAGATGAGCTGAGCAGCAAATCAGAACACTGAGCAAACCAGCAATAGCAGACCAATACACCCTCTTATAGGCACCAAGATCACCAACAGTCTTATCCTGGATTTTTCTTCTATGGCTGCCCTTTCCTTCAAAACTTTCAACGAGGTTGCTTTTCTATAAATCTTGCAGGTTACTATGTCCTCCTGCATCCACAACATATAATCAAGATCAACATATATTGTTTTTTTACATATTGGAAATCAATTGTGAAAGGTTTGAACACGAGGACAATCACTTTAACAAGGGAATTGATTCATAAACAAATAATATATATACACAATATTTCACCAAAATGATGTGACAGTATTGACAATTTTCTAATGATAAATCAATTTGATGTGTATTTTAGTTTTGAAATGAATAAATCTAATAATAAAATTATGAATCCAGGTTCATTGGAATTAGAATTTTGTAGTTATAAAATTATGAATCAGTTTGTTACAATTTTGATTGATAAAATTATGTAGTTACAATTATCAATCAATCTAATTTTTTTAGGAAAACACATCAAATTATTAGAATAGAAATCATAATGAATCCAAGTACCCAAACTGCATCGATCCAATCCACTTTAAAAAACTTATGGCCTAATTTTCTCATAAATAAAAGAACTAATTCAGTTGAAACTGATACATGTGAACAATCACTTATATACTAAATTTAGAGCAAATATGGAATACCTTAGGGAAGGAGGAGTTATCTGGAAGTCTATACTCATTCATCACCCAATCAGTCTTGCACCCTCGAGGTGCTCTCCCGTTATAAAAAACCAGCGTCTTTCTAAGGCCCAGGATTTTTGTAGGGTCCAACATGCATCGAATCAGACGGTCTGAGCCGGTTGCTTTCCAAAACCCAATCTGAGTGATTCGGTTGGGCCTTCCACCATGACCATTCTGTTGGTATTTTTCCATAAAAATATAAGAAAAATTTATAAAATGAATTTAATAGAAATGACAAAATAATTTTTTTTTAATTTAAAGAATGAAATACAGAATAAACTACACCACTAAATACAAAAATAAATTAGATTACATTACTAAAAGAACAAATTTTTAACATGGATAACTAATTATTAAAACTCGTCGAGGTAAACTAAATTCTAAAAAATTAAAGAACAAATAATAAAAAAATGAGCAAACTGAAACCTGTGTGATACTACAGTTTTTTTAAAACAGATTCACCACCTCTTGATAGATGCTGAAGGTACGCCGTCATTTGTTTCTCAGGATACGACGGTCGAAACCAACTAATGCAGAAGCATTTTCTGAATAGCTTTAACGAACTTGATAATGGTTGCACTCTCTCTAACAAAAACCAAAGAAGGGACTAGCAAAAATAGATAGGAAAATTTTTCTTTGGTGTAAAAAATTATCTCAAATTTTTTTTTTATTTATCTCAAAACAACATTTCCATTTTCTATCAAAAATCTCTCAAAAACTCTTCTTCTAAGTTTGAGGGGAAATGCCCTTTTCATACTTGTAAGGAAGAGATCTTAGCCATGAAAGTTACCATAAAACCTAGCATCAATGGCCATCAACTCTAGTTTTTAGGCTAAATTTACAAATGTGTAAAACTCTCATGTGCATAATGATCATCAACTCTATCATCAAAAGATGAGAGTTATAAAGGTTGAATAAACATATATATATAACGCTATTTAAATAATCCAATGAGATGGGTCGAAAAATGGATACGGGTATTGGGTCACAACTCGATCCACACCTAGTCTAAAACATATATATGCACAAGACAAGCCCAGTCTAGCATAGCACAATCTAGCCCAAGACTAAGTCCAACACATGTACATACACAAGTGTGGGCTCGCCTTTTTTCGCACCCTGCCTTTCGAAAAGGTTTGAAAAGAAGGCCTCACAATTCGGACTCTAGCGATTCTAAATCTAATCTCACAGAGTGCAATGTGAAACTGATAATCACCAAAGAGTCTAAATTCGACAAACCATTTTGGAAAATCGATTTTAAATCAAATAATGCCAAAATTAGACTGCTTTGTCAGATGTAGAGTCGCCACCTAAATATTTTATTTTTTAGAAAAATTTAGGAAACTCTGACTCGTACCAAAGGCTACGTGTCCGTCATCACCAAAGTTGTCTTGGCTCGGGAACTCAGGTACGAGAGGGGAAGGTCCTGAAATGAGCACCCCCACTCGCCCAATAAAAAATCGGCCTCTACTAATCATGATATGTATTTTTATAAACATTATGTATTCTTATTCCGGTTATTTAAACTAGCTTTACTAAGTGACGTACACAAGCAAGTATAGATTAGTCGCAAGACTTGGAACAATTTAACTCATGTTTGTTCACGAAAAGGGTTTGAATTTGCCACCTCAAGTGGGCTTAAAGCATGATTTGCCACAACAAAATGGGCTTAAAACGCACATGTGTTGAATCATTTCAATTCAAACAACAAGTCTTCATCCACAAGTATTCATGCGGTTTAGCATTTAAGCACATAGCCTTATGGCAAACATGCAAATCATGGCAATATGGCAATCACACTCATGCAAGTATGCTAAAGCATAAAACTCACAGAGTACTCCAAGCCAAAACAGAAACTAGTTAGAAAAATGCATGATCCTAACTATACAAGATGTCTAATGCAACGCATACAAAGAATGCAATTAATAGGCACGACTACTATATGGCATATGAATCAATTTGAACAACACGCTACTAAACACGTATTCAAAAAAGTATCAAAATTGCAATACAGTTTGAATGATGCGCCGAGCCTCGGTGCATGCAAGACAAAATGAATGGATGCAAACATGCAAGCATAAAGTATGCTAATTGAAAATGTCCATAATCTAACCATCAAAAGCGATTAAATAAAAAGGAGAAAGACGTGGGGTTGGAAAACATACACACATACACGCACACTTATTACAACATTACGCCCTTGCAAAGGAGGATCCGAATGAATAGCTACGCTAATTAAACTAACTAATTTTTACGACAATTGAAACGAATTAACTAACTTCTTCTAAGCTAATTAAATATTACAAATTGAAGTAATTAGCTAAATACTAAGCTAATTAAGTACAAAGCAATTAAACTAATTAATTAGCTACCACTAATTAACTAAACAAAGCAATTAAATGGCCTCGGGAAGCGAGGGATGCATGCATGTTCAGTTCCTCCACTCGAAAAAGCCACTGCTTTGCCACTGAATGCCTCTGTTTGCACATTTGAACACCAATAGTGCTGCTAACGCCCAGAATGCCTTTGCTCCACCTTACCAACACACTGTACAATTTTCATTGGTAGCTGACAGGGGGCTTATCAGATACTGGTGGTGGCCGGTTGGCCACTGATGACATGAACTCCTCTTTTTGCTGCAACAGAGAACAAATATAGCAAAACAGTATATTCTCACAGGTTTCTGTGTATTGTTTACACTCCTTATCATCAAACAAGCTCAAAGGAGTGAAACTCTTGGCTCTTAAACCACCAATCAAGCAATTTCCATGCATGATGGCCAAAGAACCAAGCTTATACAAGTTTAATGAGTGTAAAACAAGACTTAAAAAAGACCACCACCCTATCATGCATGATCAAGGGTGATGATGACCAAGGAAAGTGGCACATTTCATCACTTTGAGTATGAAATGTCCCATTTTCCTCGTGTTCGAATTAACGTCCGATTCGAACACATGCAATGCAACACGAAAGATGTTTATCTTGCCTCTTTTACTTATTCATTTTATTTACTCATTTTACATTACCGATTCATTCTTTAATCGATTAAGTCCAAAAGTGAGTGTCCTCTAAGGGAAAGATGGCTCAAACAACGAGTTGCTTTGGGCATGAAAGAGGCATTACACTGTTGGTAATGAACCCCCTAAGGGATTAAACCATTAAGTGCAACACCTCAATTCCACACTTAGGCAAACAAATGGTTTGAAATCACTTTCAAAGCAAACAAAAGAGTGAAGAATGGAAGGAGATTGCAGAGATTTTAAGTGCTGAAATAAAGTGCAAAACAACACTAAAATATGCTATTAACTAAAACCAATGATGATTAAAGCATTAAAATATCAAGCAAATGAAGGAAATAACACCACAACTATGCAATACAAGCCTCAACTGAATTAACCAGCCCAAAACAGAGCCAAAACAGGTCAAAAC